TACACATATGATATCTACTATTAGTATAGATTTACTTAAACATGTTTTGACTTCACCTTGATCATGCATCCTCATATTGTTATTCATAATGCCTATGAAACCATTTCTTGTAAATGTCCGTTGTGCATATTTTCTTGCATGGTCTCCATACTTAGTACTTAATTGTGCTAACCCCTTTCTTTCCCTTTTTGACTAAAGTGTAGGGATTTGGAGATGGTGACATGTCATGGCTACTTGATAGGTTTCTAAGTGTTGGAGATGAAGACTTGGTGAGTCCTCATAGATTCGAGGACAATACCCAATATGTTCTTTTATGTCTTTTAGTATTGTTTAAGTTGTGTACGGGATTAGTCCCGAATTTTGTACTCTAAAGTATTAGATGGTTTGAGACATCATGTATAAAGTCTAGAAAGTCTTTCGCTTGCATTTTTTTTAATTTAAATGTCTTCTTTGTAAAGAACGTTTTTAATTCCTTATGGTTTTTAGTGTCTATGCGATGAATGAATGCTAAGAGGCTTGTATTAGACCTCTTCGAGGTCGAGTACGCCGGTTACGACTAGGGGGTGCTCCCGGGTCATGACACTAATGAAGGGTGTCCAACTGGACAACCTGACCACATGTGGCTACGCCGCTGCATATATCACACTAAATGCCCAAGTATATACAACTATACATATTCCTCTTTTTGTAACAATGAAAAAAAATACAAAAAGTGAAAACAAAGTTACTTGCTACTTTCTTTCTTTCTCTTCTTTTGTTCTTGTCATTTTAATTTACTACACATGTTTTATTTTATAACACGTTATCAACAGGAGTCTCTTCATCTACGAATATTTCTGGTAGTATCTTAGGCCAAACATAAATAGTATAGAGTATATTCTGTTTTGCTATATAAATCTTCTTATAATTGATAGTCTAAATTTGATGTGTCTAATATAATTATGGTTAATGTTATCATGCAATTTCCGAACATCTACAAGATATAATGCATTAAAATCGGGTCTAACTACTAAGTTGAAGGAAACCTAGCCTACTTAGGTGTCAAACATGAGTTGATGAACCCTACCTATGAACTTCTGACTCCACGAGCGGAACCTAGGATGTACAAAGACTGAAATTACTTAGGTTTTCACCTTTCTTATGCGGTAGTTCTTCCTCCCTTATTGCTCCTTTGCCCGGGTGCCTTTAGAGGGTTTTTGGAGCAACCCTCGTCTACTTTCTCCTTTATAAAATGAGAGGAAAATAAAAAATGATGCATTAATTAGAGTTTAGAAATTTGCCAACCTGCTATAGCAGCGTCGCCATAGTGGGAAGCCTGCCTCTATGCGGGCTGACGTCAGCCTGACCAAAATTGTCATGTGCTCAAATTTTAAAAATACTTGCACCGCACTTTTGGACTTTTGAAATTTCCAACAAGATGTCCTTTACTAACATAAATTGAATCGTTACAATAAGATACTAACTAATCTTTTGTTCATCCCCGAACTATTACCCCAGGAGAAAAGAAAATAGACCGATTATCAAGGTTTACCGCACGATTCGACACGTCAAGAATGCACTCACCATACGCAAGAAACACAACTCTACCACGTCTCGCGTATCCAAGATTATCAGAATAGAAAATGTGAATGCACGAAAACAATAACATAATTTTCTACATGCCTACTTCTCTAGACCCCACTATAGCAACGGCGTTGTAGTGGTTGTTCAACTACTATAACATCATGCAAATTTAAAATAACAAAAGAGAGGAGAATGAGTTTTTATGCTCATTTAACCTCTTCCAACTCTCAATCTCAATATCTCTCAATCCTCTCAGATTACAGTGTTCAGAATCATCGAAATCAGGGTAAGCATCGCTCTCCTTACTCTTTTCTACTTCAGTAGGCAAATAATGACGAAATCATGTACAAAATTGAATAAAATAGAATAAGGTTTGGGTTGATTCTGAACTTTGAAAATAATTGCTTGATTGTCAAATTTATTGAAGCATGAGACTTCCCCTTATGTTTACAACTTTGTTACAACGTTC